CTAACAAACACATGAAAGGATGCTCAACATCACTAATCATTAGAGAAATGTAAATCAAAACCACAATGAGGTATCAACCTCACACCGGTCAAATGGCCATCATCGAAAATCTACAAACAATAAATGCTGGAGAGGGTGTGGGGAAAAGGGAACCCTCTTGCACTGTTGGTGGGAATGTAAATTGATACAGCCACTATGGAGAACAGTATGGAGGTTCCTTGAAAAACTGAAAATAGAATTACCATATGTCCCAGCAATCCCACTACTGGGCATATACCCTGAAAATACCGTAATTCAAAAAGAGTCGTGTACCACAATGTTCATTGCAGCTGTATTTACAATAACCAGGATATGGAAGCAACCTAAGTGTCCATTGACAGATGAATGGATAAAGATGTGGCACATATGTACAATGGAATATTACTCAGCCATAAAAACAAACGAAATTGAATTATTTGTAGTGAGGTGGATGCACCTAGAGTCTGTCATACAGAGTGAAGTAAGTCAGAAAGAGAAAAAGAAATACCATATGCTAACCCATATACATGGACTCTATGAAAAAAATGGTTCTGAGGAACCTAGGGGCAGGACAGGGATAAAGAGGCAGACGTAGAGAATGGACTTGAGGACACAGGGAGGGGGAAGAGTAAGCTGGGACGAAATGAGAGAGTGGCATGGACATATATACACTACCAAATGTAAAATAGATAGCTAGTGGGAAGCAGCTGCATAGCACAGGGAGACCAGCTCGGTGCTTTGTGACCACCTAGAGTGGTCTGATAGGGAGGGTGGGACGGAGACGCAAGAGGGAGGGGATATGGGGACATATGTATACATATAGCTGATTCACTTTGTTATACAGCAGAAACTAACACAACAATGTAAAGCAATTATCCTCCAATAAAGATGTTAAAAAAATAAAAAGTAAAAAAAGATTAAAAATAAAATAGAATCCGCCTTCCAATGCAGGGGATGTGGGTTCGACCCCTGGTCAGGGAACTAAGATCCCACATGCCGCGGGGCAACAGCCCGGGCACCACAACTACTGACTGAGCCCATGCACTTTGGAGCCCGCGAGCCACAACTAGAGAGAATCCCGTGCACCTCAAGGAAGAGCCCCCACCCCACAACAAAAGATCCCGCCCCAACTAAGACCTGAAGCAGCCAAATAAATAGTTTTTTAAAAAGAAAGAAAAAAAGAAATTTAAGGAGCTAACTAAGCTAAACAGTTGAGGATTACTCGTGTCTTAGCAGATGCTGAAGCAGTGGGTATAAACGAGTTCACTGGTGGAAGAGGACAGAGCGGGAATGCAAGGGATCTGAGCCCATGCCTTGTGAAAAGGAGAGAGAGAAGCAAGGGTCAGCACACTAGATGAAGACACAATGCTGATACCAAAACCATGGGGGAAAATGTTCAAGAAAGTGTAAGTAGTCATTAGTAGTAAAGCCAGTAGGAAGTGAAGTAAAATGGAGATAAAAGTGGTCATTGGATTTAGGTACCAGTGACCATTTGTGAATGAAGGACAGGAAGGCAGACTGAACCGGGGCTAGAATTAGATGGAGAAAAAGAAATAACCATGCTGACCGCTGTTCTAAATACTCCGCGAATGTGAATCTCATGTAATGTTCACAGTAATCCTATGAGGTAGATACTCATATTTTCTATTTTGCCAATGAAGGGAGTGAAGCAAAGAGAGGTTAGGTAGCAGGAGGGGTTCAATGGCACAGGGTCACCAAGCAGGGACGGGGGGACTTGACCCATGACTGTGGCATCAGGTCCCTGCTTTAAACACCTCGTGACACAGTCTCTCAAGGTGTAGAATTGAACCAACTCTTTCAAGAAATTTGGTCATGAAGAAAGGATATGGGGCCCATAATGTGAGGGAAATTGAGGAATCTACAATATATATTTTTTTAACTGAGAGAAACTTGACATTGTCTGAGAGCCAATAAGAAGAACTCAGCAGACACATCAGAGTGAAGGAAAGTTATATGGCTTAGTGTATTGGATCACTGGTCCTTTGTGAGCCCACTTCTGTCTAGAACTGGTCATAACATGATATGTTCAATATAAATGAGAAAGGTCTATTAGTCTCATCTATTCAAAGTCTTGCTTACAATCAACTTCTTCATTTAATTTTTATTGCACATCAGTAAAATTAAATCAATCATGTCATATATTCCAAGCAGGTGCATTTGTGAAAGAATATGAGGAAAATGAAAGATTAATAGAAAATGGTTAAAATGAAATTCCCAGTACTTCTCCTGTAGCAAACTTATGTTTACTTATGGCTTCACAAATACCTGAATTCTTGTGAATTCTTCTTCCAGGCCTTTGACAATGTTGTTTTCAAACTTTCTCCAGAAGTTAAATCCATGTGGCTCTAAACCTGGGGTTCTTTCCAGCCATGCCTGAAATAAATATTTTTCAAGTAAATGCATTGTAAAATTTAAAATATGTAAAATGCTTCGTAACAAACATTTATGAACTTGAAATAGAAAATTTTCATGGTTTTGAGAAACATACACCCTAAGTTTTTTTGTGTGTAAATATTTCTCTTTCCCTTCAATTTCTTCATTTATAAAATAGCAATATTTTATTCTCCTAATCTTAAAGGAAATCACATTAAAGATATTTACTCTTTATTAAGAAATATATTATTACAGAAATCCCAATTTTTTTCTATAAATCTATGAACATATTTATACATTCTTTTAATGAGGGCTTCTGGTTTATTCTCAAAATAGTTTATGTCTTAGGAGCTGAAGGAATCATGACATGTATGAGATATGATTTCTTCTAAACGCAGGGACATTGTACTCTTAGCAACTTTGAAGTCAACTGACTGCTCAATTATTTTAAGAGGCCACAGGATTTTTAATCTAGAAATAAAAGCAAATCTGTGCATCTCTGTGGGTTCTCACTTAGCCTATTTTTCGTTTTGAAATTAGCTTTCTGATTCTTTCTCTATCTTTATAAGCCATTAAATAGCATTATCTATAATTTATTAACCTAAATCTACACTTACAATGCCCAGGGGATTAGTGAGCAGAGTATAATTCACTAAAATAAAAACTGAATTTGCAAAGGAAAAGACTTTGTCATGGAAATCAAGACTATACAATCCTTATTTAATAATTTACTTATGCAAAAACAAATTAATAATTCCTCAAGGCCATTTACAGACCCACAGAGAAGTAAGATATGAAGGGAAAGAATTCTGAAGGATAGAATCTTAGTGACTTAGTTTAATTAAGAAACACAACTTGTGGAACTTTTCAATTATGGAATATTTTAACGAAACAAATCTCATTCAATAAATAACCATACCCAATTTAAAAATCAGCTAATCCAATGTTGCTTAGCAGAAATATTTAAAAGGATTGTTATAATAAGATAAGGAGGTTATTAAATATTAACATATCATTGATTATATAAATTTCTCTGAAGTTCTCAAGAGAGCTTTTAATATTTTAATTAGTGGAATTTACCAGCTAAAGTATTTCTATAAATTCATTCTTCTCTTATTTGCAATGAACGCGACCCAACTTTGATATGAATTTTAAAATCCGGGTGTCGCAGAAGCTCAAGTAACCAGGTGTGCTGAGCTAGGCGTTCCCAGTGGCCTTTGCACACACACCTCCACCAGCTGCAGGAGGGTCCTTTCCTGCTCGGACTTCAGTAGTAACTCGTTGTCTTCTCCCCTGAAGTTATCACGGTAGTGTCTTCTGTTGTAAGGGACCCTCAAGCTCTGAAGAACCCCTATCTTGTTTTCTAACAGTCGGAACTGCAGACTCTGGAAGCCTGATGCCGGGAATAAGTACTCTCTGTGAGAACAGGTGGGGGAGGACAGAAGAGGAGGGAGGAGATTGTTGTCATGGTCAATCGCCGCAAGGGTCTCTTCTGTTGGGAAAGGTGGTCAGTGTGACTCTCCCAGGCATCACCACACACAGACACACAACTGCCTATCGTTGGACCCAGGACTTGGACTTCACCGAACTCAGGACAACGAGGTCCTAGCCATCATTGTCACTGTCAGTTGATGTTTGTGTATGTATATACACATATGTGTATGTATGTGTGTGTTTATCTATGTGTGTGTGTTTACATGTAAACTTATACGTACACATGCAGACACGTACATGCATGTGTGTATACTAAGCTTTTCCTAAGATAAAGACAGGTGAACACTGAGCAATATTTTTCATTCAATAGTGCTAAAAGTTTCTTTATAAGTATTATTCAAGGGCATTCCCTGGCAGTCCAGCGGTTAGGGCTTGGCGCTTTTACTGTGGTGGCCCAGGGACAATCTCTGGTGGGGAAAATCCCACAAGCCATGCAGCCAAAAAAATATATATTATTCCATTTCTCTTTAAAGTTCAATTCATTAATCTCACTACCTAGTATTATTATGAGCACTGGTGAGACCCTACAAGTAAAGTGAATGGGATGTTGCCTAGCACAAAATAGGGCATCACAAGGTGTGAGTACTCCCACCCCACATAACTCTCACATCCTTACAAATTTCCTTCATCTAACTGGTACTAAAACTTCAAGTTGTTAAATATACTACAAAGAAATGCTACCACTTTTCATTTGATCGTCAAATATGTAGAAGACACTGTATGTTCCATCAGTAAATGCACCTGACGCTCTTAGGAAGATTTCTTCTCAAATTTTGGTTATGAGAAAAGATTTCATAGATAGATAGATAGATAGATATCTTCCTGGATATGTACCTCTAAAATTTATAGTTCAACTGTTCAATATTCTGTAATAACCTAAATGGGAAAAGAACTTGAAAAAGAATAGATACGTGTATATGTATAACTGAATCATTTAGCTGTACACCAGAAACTAACACACCTGAGTATAGCTGTTAATCGACTATACTCCAATATAAAATAAAAATTTAAAAATATTAAAAAATAAAATTTATAGTTTAATCCATAACTTACACGGACATGTTTCTTTATATGTCACTCCTGTTTCTCTTTTATTTTTAGTTTTTAATCATTTAACTTTAGTTATGTGTATTATATCAGCCTTTTTAGCCATTTTGGTAAGTCGTCTAAAATCCTTTTGGGATGAAAATTGGGCACACACGATGAACTGAAATTCACGGACCGTGCTGCGTTCACATGTAAGAGGAAAGGGATGAAGTATTTTCAGTAGCTGCTTAAATGCGTGTGGTGATGATTCCCGAGTGCTCCCAGTGACAAAGTGTCAGCAGGACAGGCTTCTTACATCACAGCACACACGTTCTCTCCAGCCCATCAGAATGGGAGGGTAACCCCTGCGTGTTGACAAAGCCGCGTGCACACCTGAAGTCGTTGAAGTCCAAGGCTGTCATGGTCTCCAGGACGGAAAACTGCTGGACCAAGAGCTTGAGGATCACACCCACTCGGTGCATTCGGGTCACCACCTTCAGCATGTTCCTCTCATCCCTGACCTGGGGGTTAGGAGATGAACAGAGTCCTCAGGCCTCAGTTCTGGAAGACACTAAATAGAGTGTAAATAACAATGTGTTCCTGTTAATGCCGTCTCTACTCTAAGGAGGAACCTTGGCACTAAAATGTGCCTTAGGTGGACACTGAACGAACAGCAACTCTGAATTGCGTACAAGGAACGCCTGCAACCTCAAAATCATTTTTTTCTTTAAAAATAGAAAACTACATGGAAGCAAGTTTTAAGTAAATTCTGGACCACAACTCCCACCGATTCCTTAGCAAATGTCTCTGTTAGTTTTGCTTTAAGGAATAAAGTCCAGGGGAACATGGGGACCTGTGCGTGCAGGTTAAGCAGACCCCTGGGTCCGTGGGCTCCGCCCTGAGGCGGGAGTTGCCGCTGAGACGGATGGGGTTTGCGTTCACAGGTACGAGGAGGGCACTGTCCGAGGATGGATGTTCTCTCCTCCCTGCCCCCTTGGCGCAGGGGCTCCGAGCTGGGGGACCCAAGGCCGGGTCCTCTGTCCTCCAAGGGCGGAGGAAGGTGTGGGCAGGATGCGGGCTGGGAGGGAGGCTGTGGGAGCTTCGCGGGGCGCCCCTCTCTGCCCTCCCCCGCATCCCCTCCCACTTTCCCCTCCTCTTTCTCTCCGTCTCCTTTCCTCACCATTGCTCCTGTCTTCCCATGCAGACGTTCAGTAGAAATACAATTCTGGTACCTACCGATGAACGAATCGGCATTAGCTGTCCTGGCAATCCACCATCGTTCGTCATAACTTTTTTTTAAGGGAAAAATATGGAGTTCTAAGCAAGGGGCTTGAAACTAGAATTGGAAAGGAACCTTGAAGCAAGGTGATGACGAGGCTGGGAAGATGTGACTAAACTCTTCTCCGCTACAAACTTTTTCCCCCCGTTATGTTATAATTCCACCATTTGGTGTTAAACTTTTCCCATTAATAACACTTTCTACTTTCTCCAAGAAAAGTATGAAAACGATATTGTGACATGGCAACTCACGTGGCCATGCTGAAAGATCTCGCGAACAGAATCCAGTTCCCAGAGGATCTGCTTAAACCAGAGTTCATAAGCTGCGAGGGGAAAATCATTGTCAGTTGGAAAGTGATGGGAGCCTTTTGACCATAATAATGTGAAAGGCCCTGTTAACACACTGAAAGAGAAATCAAAATGGAACTTAGAATTCAATAAAGGCCAATATAGCCCCATTTTATGCTACAAACAAATATTAGTGATACAGTTATAACAGGCTCCTTTTATTGAGTGCTTGAATATGCCAGGCGTGTTATCCATATGCTTTACGTTATTTTCCAAACGACTTCTCTCAACAAAATATTGTTAATGTCCTTGAGGATATAGCACGTAAACTAAATCTAACTTCCCGTGTGGAAGCTGGAGGTGTGTGGAGAAGTGGAAGTGATACTAAACTTCTATAGAGTGAGACCCTAATACACATTAACCTAATGAGTACGACAACGTATTTGTTTCTAGGGACTTGGACCCTATGGGGAGGACAAGCTATGAACAGGCTGAAACTCTGTCACACTCATCTATTTCCCTCAGTTCCTAGCACAGTGTTTGGCGTAAGATAAATGCTGGGTGATTATTATATAAATAGATGAACTAAACAGCCAGTGTAGTCATTAGAGGAGCATGGAAACCAATCACCTTAGTGATCGCTAGTGTCTTCTCTTTGGGCACAGGCTGTGCTTCTGTACTAATGAAGGGGATCAAATTATACCTTTAAATTACATTTAAGGAGACTTTCAGAAATCTATTTTCCATATGTGGACAAAAAGAGCAAACCAAATATATTTTCGGATCAGTCTGTGAGTCACGTTTTCAGGTTTAACTTTGTGTAGCTGGTCCCATGACCCACTGACCACGTGTTCTGATGGAAGGAAAGTCTCCCCATCAGACGATAGGCACTACCATTCGTTGTGTGTTGACTGTGTGCTCTACCTTGAGCTCAGCGCCGAGCGCACGTTACCCGTGTCATCCTCACAACTCTGTACATGAGAGGAAACAATCATTCTTTCCATTGTGCAGGTGGGGAAATGGCGAGAATTACTGGTCAAGAAACCTGACCGAGGTTCCACCGTCTTTAATGGTAGAGATGGGATTCGAAACAAATTTCTGATTCCCAGCGTGTGCTGCCCTGCGGTGATTCCTCCCCTGCTGATTTTGCCTTCGAGCCACTGATAATGTCAACATAAAAAAACAGGAGAAGTAACACATTAGCCTCATTATTTTCCATTTTTAATTTTGTTTAACTCAAAGGAGACGATCATATTAGCCAGTCCGTGAAGAAAACAATCATTTGAGGGAAAGGCACAAAGAATTGATAGGACAAGGAAACATCTAGAAACGCAGCACCGACCCGCATGAGTCACTGGGCCCTGGTCAGCCAGAGGGCAGTATTATGACACCAACAATCTTAGAGGAAATCTAAAGGTTTGGGGGTCACAGACCTCTGAAAGACATGTTTGTGAAATTTTGCACAAAATTTCAAAGAGTTCAGGGACTTCCTAAACTTCCAAAGTCAAGGACTCTACGTTAAAAACCGCTACCCAGAAGCAGAAGTATGGAGAGTAGGAACACACATTTTAGGCAAAATTCACATTCCTATTCAGTACCAGCTCTCTGTAGGATATGTAAAGTTACAGTAAATGTGAGGGATCTGTTTCTTGAAAATAGTCTCCTAACGTTCCAAGTGGAAAAAAGTGACATCTTAGCTTGCAAATTCTTCGTGAATTCCAAGAGATAGAAAGCCCCCTTGGGTTTAGGACAGAGTCCTAACTGATCCAACAAGCACCGAGGTAGCAGAAAGAAGACTGTTATAAATCACAGAAGGAGGTCCTATGAGAACTTATCTGGTAGCCAAGTATTCGCGAGCATCCTAACGACAGTGATTTCTTAGTCCTCCACCGTCTTACAGGTAAAAGTGTGCTACCTTTCCTCATTACTGATGGAAAATTCCTATGAATAGCTACTGTCCAATCTTGTGTGCAACTTACCTTGATGAGTTATGATGAAAAGATGCTCATCATGGATTTTATTTCCTTTTATTTCACTTTGAAGTTCCTGTGCATTCAAAACTTTTTCCAACTTTAAACAAAAAAATAGAAACACTGATTTTGTAGAAACTTCAGGTACAAGATGAATAAGTTATGTGGATCTAACGTATAGCATAGTGATTATAGTTAATGGCAATGCATTACATACTAGGTCTTAAGTGTTTTCACCGCAAAAAAAGAAATGGCTATTATGTGACTTGATGCATGTTAATGCTCTGGTGGTAATCACTTTGCCATATATGAGTGTATCAAATCAACGTGCGTGCACCTTAAACTTATGCAATGTTATATGTTAATTATATCTTGATAAAGCTGGAAAAAAGATTACAAAGAAAGACTGATTTTGAAATCGCAAAACTAGATTTTTACCAACTTTAATAAATAGAATACAATACTGAAAAAAGTCCCCCAAATCCCAAATGCTCAGGAACCAATCTACTTTCTTTTAAACAATTAATGTGTCTTCATAAAGAGTGAGTTGAATTTATGAGTTTTACTCTTTTCAGAAGAAAGTATATTTGGTAGGAATCTATCGTAACAAATGCTGTTACCCTCACTGAGAAATTATGTCCCTTCCATCTCTTGCCCCATCTCTTGACCCTCATGTCCCTTCCATTTATAAAAGCTTCATAGCTTGCTTAGTCTACTGTGTGTCCGCTGCTCTTTTATTCTCCTAAAGAGTCGATTCTAAGACCTTAACGTTGCCTGTCAGCTCATGCTTAGAAACCCACCAACAAGGGCATCAAGGGCTCTAATCACTTCACGTCTTAAAAATAATCTCCAGGGACTTCCTTGGCAGTCCAGCGGTTAAGAGTCCACGCTTCCACCTCGGGGGCATGGGTTCAATCCCTGGTCGGGGAACTAAGATCCCACATGCGGCGTGGCATGGTCAAAAAAAAAAAAAAAAGAGAGAAAAATAATCTCCAAATGCCTCTTTGTAACATCTTTCTTTCATCTAAACATACGCCTCCAACATTTCTAGTTTACGATAAGGAATTTAAAAGAGAAAATGTTCTGGCTACATTTGCAATTATCTAGGCTGGGATTCAGTAACCAGGTCTCAGGTATACAAGTTGTGCAATGCCTGCCAGTTATCTGCGCTTTATCTTATCCCATGTGTCCTCGGCCTGGATTCTGCATTCTCTGCTTTCATTGTATTTCTGTCAGGCAGGTGAATCTTCACATACGAGTCTCTTGACTTGTTCTAACAAAACTTGAAAAAGCATACATGTGTATGAAAAGAGATATCTTTAGGTCCAGAAAACTATTTGACGACTGAGAAGACAAACAAACAAACAAACAAAAACCCCAACATGAAAATGTCACCTAGCGCTTAGCAGTGAAAGCTCCTCCTTGTGAGGACTCTGCCACTTACTTGCAGGTAGTTCCCATAGATAAGTCCCCCTTTACTGGCTCTATTCACACCCATTTGTGATTTGTCTTCTTCACTGCCTTGTACAGAGAGGTTTTTAAAAGCATATCTGCAGATGAAAAAGTGAGAAAAAGAACAGTAACTAATCATAGGAGTGACGAGAATTCCCTTATTGCTAACCTTTCAAAGTAGATTATTAAACAAGGGAAGAAGGGTGACAGTGTTCACCCTTGCTTTTGAAATTCCGAAATTAGTGTTCATACTTGACATTCCTAAGAGCTTACCCAGACTTAGGATAGAGGTAAATACTCACCCAAAGCTGCTTCCTAAACATGGGCACCCACTCATGGTGAAGACGTGCTGTCACAGGAGCCCTGAGCTTTGCCTCTGGCCGGGTGATGTCTTTGCCCCCCAGATGTTCCACAGCTCCCTTTTATGAACCCTGCCCACCCTGCCCAGCCAATCAGCTCCTCTGTGTCTCTTACCAAGGCTCTTGTTTCAGCTGGAACAGAAGCTGAACTTTGGTAAACGTTAGAGTGGATTTGTGTTTGGGACAGTTTGTTTGCTAGAAGTGTGAGTGTTCTGCCTAACAATATTGGACTTGTCAACTTCTGCTTTCATATCCACAGTAGCAAGCAACAAATAACTCGGTAAGAGGCAAAGGGAACAACCCAAAGATTTAACTATTCTGTTCCAAGAGCACATTTTCATAGTGTTACAGTGTATAAGAGGATGAGCTTGTACACTGTATGAGAAAAACAAATATTTATTCTCTCAGTCTCAGATTTGAATATTCTTACAACTCCTCAGCTGCAAACGGACCTCGAAAGTCTCTGGGGAAAGAAATTCGTTATGTAACAGACGCAGGATTCATGCTTAAACCCCATTTCCAGCCCCTCTTCATAGCTCTTCTGGCCTGAATCTCATCTAATGATTAGCAGCAGTTAGGCTTCTGTATTGAATTGGAACTTAAATGCACATTATTAATTTACTGGTCACCTGTCATACCCCGACCACCAGGCAGTGGCAGTCATCCCACTTTGTCTGCAGACAGTTTTTATTTTTATTTCTTTTTTCCTTTTTTTTTTTCCAGGATACAATATATAATGAGCTTGGTCAGGCGGACGTACATGTTTAATAAAATGGTGACGGTGACACTGCTTTGAGAACACAAAGTTAGCATTGCCGCATCCAGACTCTCATGTTGCCAAATCACCTGTTATGATGCAGGGCAGACAATTTTTAAACGATAATAATGTGCCCAGGGTTCCAAGCAATGTCTTTCTAGAAAACATTATTTACTGGACTAACTTCTAAACCGTTGCTTTGAGGCCCCTGGAGCCAGGGCAGAAGCTCCATCCCCCTCCCTACCCGCCGCTGAGACGCGCAAAGAACCACACAGAGAGACAGCTTTTCCTATTTCTCTCACCGTCTAAAGTGATCGATTTATGTCATCAGAAGTCAGAAGCTTCATTTCTAGTCTTGGCTGACTAACTTGTGATATGGGGAAATTAACTTAATGCCTGTACACATCATTCTTCATCAAACGCCATGAAGGTGTTAACGTTGATTGTAACTTCGAAGGTCTTCATCCACCTGAAAATTCTGATTTTATGACTATAATAAATTGTAACATCAATGCAGTTTTACAGAAGTATAAACAGCATGAAAACGTTATAAGAGCTGGGAAATCATCTAAACCACATCCTAGATCCCTGTACTCCACTGGGGTTTTTACAGACACCTCAAGCCATTGCTTATTCCCTGGACGGGGTTTTGTCAGCAGGAGAGGTAGCAATAGTTCCTGGTGTGCTGGCCCAGAGTGTCCGGAAGCAGAAAATATTTAATAGCGTCTCTTCCTCTACGTGGTTATTCAACTAAGTGTGTGTTTACAAAGAATACAGCTAAATAATTTATTCTACTCTCTTTAAGCCTTTCAGCTGAGAAATGATCTTCACTTACTGGTCCCCATACTAGTGAAAGAAATAAGGAAATGATGTTGTTTTCACTATAAATTAGAAAAGTTAGATATTTTAGAAGCAAAAAAATTTTCTGTTTTTTTTTTTTTTTTTAATAACATTCCACTTAGATCTCCTAAGCAGTGCCAATTCAGTGGCTTATCTGAGCAACACGAGAGCTGATTATTCAAAGATTTGAATTCAGTGCACCAGAGAAATTCTAAGTTAACCTAAGAAAAGCTTGTTTCCTTCAGCCAGGACAGTAGCTACAATGACGGCCCCTCAAACACATGAATTTTCATTCTTTTCTTTCTTTTTTTGGCTGTGTTGGGTCTTCGTTGCTGCGGGCGGGCTTTCTCTGGTTGCAGCGAGCGGGGGCTACTCTTCCTTGTGGGGCACAGGCTTCTCATTGCGGTGGCTTCTCTTTATTTCGGAGCACGGGCTCTAGGCGCACGGGCTTCAGTAGTTGTGGCATGCAGGCTCAGTAGTTGTGGCGCACGGGCTTAGTTGCTCTGCGGCATGTGGGATCTTCCCGGACCAGGGCTCGAACCCATGTTCCCTGCATTGGCAGGCGGATTCTTAACCACTGCGCCACCAGGGAAGCCCTCACTCATTTTTGCAATAGGAAGTATTATGAGATTTAGGACTAGTGATATTCTGGTCAGCATCTTGCCAACACTTAAATGTAGCCACTTGAAAACCAATTTGTCAACCAATTTGTCACGTTTTCTTCGTGATCAGGTTTAAAACTTCTATAACTAATGTAGTACTTACTGCTCCCAATATAGCTTATGTACTGGATATTTTATACAGACCTTCTAGAAATATACTTTAATGCAAAGAAATCTCACGGTAAGAACCTCAGACATTACAGCAGGTGAAAAGAGGAGACCATATGGCTACAGACAATGCTTTGTGGTAATCTCTTCTAAACTCTTCGCAGGTCCTCAAGCACATAACTCTGTGTACCCATGGGTTACAGAGAGAAAATGCTAGAGGCAAAGCTGCCTGATGTCCATACTTAGAAGACAGGAATCATGCCCAATCCTGGGCCAAAGGAAACCCTCCAAACCATCCAATATGTAGAAGTAAAAATACTGAAAACGTGGGAGACAAAATAACATTTTTTTCTCAGATACGTCCTAAAAGAATATTAAAGGAATATCAAAAATAACTTGACTGTCAAAATAAAAACCCATGTCTCTGGCTCTTTTCTTGGTCTAAGATTAGGGAGTAGAGAGTGAGTCCGTGAGATGGAGCAAAGGGAAGAATTAGCAAGAGCTGGTGTTGGGCGTAATTTAGAAGGTGAGGGGAATTTACTTTATTCCTTCAGCCACACAGCATTGGTTTCAAGCAAAAGGCCACCTGTAATCTGCTGAGGAGTGGTCCATTTCCTTCTTTCACATAGCCCTCAAATCTTAGTACTGCCACAATCCCCACCCTACTCCCCAGCCCAACTGTTCCCTTTTTTCTTACTCAACAGTTAGAGATGGTGGCTGACATGGAAACACAAAGCCAGGAGGGGAGTTCTCGTGGATAAATGCCCCAGCATCCTGTTTTTCAGAAGATGATTCTGAAAACACCCCACACCCTTCTGGAACCATCCAAGTGGAATCCCCACTTGTCTACAGCCTTGACCTCCATAAGGAATCCTGATTTTGGTTTTTCCTCCCTC